TCTCCTCAGCGCGCAAGGCAATCCTTTTTCGCGACCGCAGCCCTACAAGGAAGCCCATTGTGTGAGGCCCAGATTTTGCAGCCTCTTAGCAGCCCGCGCAACTCGTGTTGTAGCCCGCATCAGTACCTGCTGCAGCCCGCGTGTCGGCCTGGTGATCTGGCACAGTATTCATCGATCATTGAAGTAAAGTTCATGCTTCAGTTTTCAACAATTAAAAAAATTGTGCCTTACATTGCCAAAATTAAAAAAGTTACACTTAAATTACAATTGAAATAAAAGTCATTTGTTGTACAGTTTTACATTTTCTCATGTCATAGCGTTACTAACCATAGGAGACAAATTTGTGGCTCTAGCACTGGGATTGAACACTTCAATCTCAGATTTAATTATCATACAATTTTGAAATTTCTCTCTTTTCTTTCCCCCATAAGCATAGCTTATTCTCCGATCATCTTACTTTTTTGATGTTACATTTCCTCTAATTCAAAGAAATGGAAGTCAATTAGCATTTTTGTGGGGCAAGAAAAAAGGGAATGATCATGCTAGGCAAATTTGAACTACTTTTCTTGGGGAAAAGGAAGCCAATGCCTGTCATAATAAACAATACTTTATTTTAAATTCTTTGAATTTAAACTTTATGTAATACTTATAATATAATTGAATTACCTTCACCCGAGCATGTGCACAATTAAAAGAGTATTATCATGTGGACAAAGTATTTCCTGGAGACCATCTAAGGTCATGTACCCCTTATACCTACCTAAAAATTAACGATGGATTCAAAGGTACAAGACAAAAAATAATGTTGGTAGCCTCGTACTTTGCCTTGTATCCTTCGTACTTCAAAAAATCTATTTTACCCTTACTTCATTAAACATTAAAATTTAAATTAATAACTTATAAAATAATAATTGTATTTATTTTAAAGACCATACATTTATATTATTTATATAACCATCCTTCAAATACAAAAATTTATCATCACAACCTTAACACTTAATTTACGAATTAATCTCCTAAAAATCAATATCTAACATCTCCTTATTTCTCCTAACCCTCTGCCGGGCCCAATCCCAAACCCCTCCCACACTCGCCGCCGGCTGTCGGAGTATTCCTCTCTTACTCCTGTTTTGATATTTCCCCTCAAGCCCTAGAATTTCCCTCAAATCCAACCCATCGCTTTCGATTTGAATGCCCCCTCCATGGTGGCCGCCGCCGCCGCTGCCATCCCCCCGATGACCTCGTCCGTCGCCGCCCGAATCTCCTCCATCGTCCCCGCCATCATCCAAGCCCAACCCATTGCAGGGACTTGGCTTTCGAAAATTTGATAAATATTAGGGACTGATTTGCAAATTCAGTAACTTTAGGCCAATGAAGACACGGCTTAAACTCCCTCTGTTTAAATTTTCATTCTGGTTGTTTCCTTAGGTTTTCTTTGAGCCCATTGAGGTCACTAAGTTTGACTGTTCTTCAACATTATAGGTTGTTTGACTATTTCTTCAACATTATAGGTTGTGGCAGCCGTTGGTTTTAAGGGGAAAAGGCATAAGATTCCACATGATATGAATCCTCAGATTGCAGCTATTATTGTATCTTGCTGGGCCAAGTGAGTTATATATCTACTTCAAATTGATGTTTGCAATGTGCAGAATTGTTTTTAGTTGATGATCTTGAACTTGTTTATCTGTTCATGTTTGGGAAGTAGGGTCAAGAGAGGTGGTGTCGAGAGGTGGCCGGATGAAATCTCCCCTTTTAACGAGTTAGGGAAAAAAAGAACCAAGACTAGGAATGATAGTTAATAAAACAAGGCTCCTTTTAGGGTCTTTTAAGTATAGTTTGGATTGATAGCATGATGCATATAATAATATGGTGTGGCTGGTTTTTGTTGATTGCTAATATATAACTGAACTATAGTGTTACCTTTCAAATTTTTCCTATTTTTTGATTGTCAACTTCTATTTCTTTCTCCACTTCTGATTTCATTTCATTTTATTTTGTTTTTTATTTAGTTGTCTTGATTGCTCTGTAGCATTAGGGTGAATATGCTGTAGTTGATGTGCTTGCATGAAAAAGAATAAAAAATTGCAACTAATGTGTGTCTCTTTTGAGTTGTACGTACGTAGGTTTGTAATTTGACCACCTTGTAGAAGATCGGATTTGGCGGCTCGAGATAGTGGTCCCGGACTCTATCACAGGTAAGGAACTTAGGAAACATATGCAGTTTTCATAAAATACTTGAAGAAAAATGGTTGTGCTGTCTATGATAATTGATACCATGTCCTGATTTAGGTCTCTGATTAATTATATATATGGTTTGTTAGGTCTCTGATTTGGGAAATAAGCAGGCCGTGTGTATATATGGTTTGTTAGGTCTTTTGTATTTAGCAGCATTATCTGCCTAAGTAGATGGAATAAAGAACAAACAGAAAAGTGGACTTAATTAACCAGTTTTGCAATAATACTCGTTCGGAGTTGATGCAAGTTTGTAATAACACAGTGTTAGCTCGAAGGGCTATGCATCCTTAGATTCTGTTAGCTCGAGAAAGCATTTTGCTCCCTCTATCGCCAGCAATGTTGCCAACTGGCCACTGTCCTCATCATCCGCCACGTCATCCACCCTTGTTTTGTTGGTTCTGACCTGGCCCTCGAGTAAGTATGTGACACGTCATCCTAAAATTAATGCAAGGTTTGTTCTCGTAATGCCCCTTGATTTCTACTAATTTTGAGCCATTGAAACATATTTTTTTTTTCAGCTTTTGATTGTTACAAAGTAGGACATTGATATTCCAAGGTAATGACAACAAAGTGACTGCCTTTTGCACCATACACTGCAAACACTACCATGTGATGGTTGCTTAATTAAGTATTGGGCGATATAATGAAATATATAATTTGCTTTCAATATCGCTGATAAGGCCGGTTCTAGAAAATTCTCATCTGATGCATAATTTGCTGGTCATGCTTTTGCTGGTTCAGTTTTATTATCTTCTACGTATGTATTATCAAGTTCAAGAGATGAGGTTGTCTTAAGGAAACTGTTGATTTACATTTTTCAAGCTTCAGTTTTGTGAATTTTCGATGTTACCATGTGTTTATACATGATACTTGTATTTGTGTTATATGAAGCTTGTAAAATTAGTCCATCCCAAACGGACGAACTTCTATGTAATGTGTTGATAATTTATTTATGTGCATCATCCTAAAATCTGTGTAAACCCGTGAAATTACTTTATGACAACTTTAAATGAACTTATAGTTGTGTTCTAAACGATGGAATCTTCAGCCGTTCATTTCACTTTGATACGAATATGATAACAAACACAACAGAAAAACTCGAAAAAGTTGTACTATCACAGCACCTTATGTTGGTTTTATTTTCAACCTGATGAGTCTGAATGTACAGAAAATGAGAACAGAGATAGCCTTGAACTCAAGCATTGTGCAACATATCCACATTTCAAATGACAAATGTACAAAACTGAAAAGAACATGAGCAAAAGGCTTTCTCAAGCTAATAGAATCTAAGGATCATAGCTAGGGTTGGTATTTTTTAACCGAAAACCGAACTGAACCAAACCGAACCGACGAGAAAATAAACCGAACCGTACCGAACCGCTTGTAACGGTAAACGACTATCGGTTATCGAATCACTATTGGTACGGTATCGGTTTGAACCCATAAGAGTTCGGTAAAACCGATACCGAACCGATAAGGGTAAAAAAACAAAACAAAGATTTTTTTTTTTATTTTTTTTTAAATATTAAAACAATGTTTAGTTGTTTAGTGTTCAAAAATTGAAATAAGGGCTCAATCCTACCTAAATCTCAAAATGACGAGAAAAATACCATTACTCATCGCCTCATTCACCTTCTAATCGGAACATTGTTGGTTTATCAGTCTACTTCTTCTAAAGAAGATGCATGCTACCGTTACTGTAGTCTATTCTCGTACCACCGTTACTAGATAAGTTAGTTGAAGTTGTATCATAAATTTTATTTCTTGCATGTTAGGAATATATTATTTTATTAGTTGAGTTTACCACAAAAATCATAATCTAATAATATTTAAACTAACTTCTATACATTAAATTTAAGCTTTTTAATCCTTCAATGGATTTGTGAGTCTTTTGTGTGTATTTAATTGTTAAGAATTAAAAAGAATTACAAAAAATGACGAGAAAAGTAAACACTAGCAATTTTTTTTGTGCTCAAAATCGGTTTGGTTTTTTGGGTATAAAATCGATACCGAACCGATTAAAGTCAGTTACCGAACCGATTTTGCATTCCGAGGTTACCGACATTATCGGTATACGCTTATCGGTTCGATAACCGAACCGATACCACCCCTATGCATAGCCCTTCGAGCTAACAGTGTTATTACAAATTTGCATCAACTCCGAACGAGTATTATTACAAATTGAAGGATTTTTTATACACATTTCTGATATAGTTCCAAACCACAATCTCCGCACACAATCCCCATACCCCTTCTCACCAAACTTCCTCACAGTCGCCTAGTAATCAGTCTCCCACGGAAATTCCATGTCAATGAAAACGAACAATCTTTTGATCATCTGATCCGGGTTCAGTTCCCGTCCACCGCCACCTGAAGCAGCAAGTCAAACACCTTTTGGAAGCTATTGTTCCTGCGTACACCTCACAAACTTTGTCTTCTCCTTCATAAAGAATATTGGACACCTTACGAGATAGAATATAAATAATATTGAAAATGACATTGCAACCAATTTATAAAATCACAATGTGAGAAAGAACAAAAAATAATATTTAAATAAATGGAAATAAAAGGGTAACACACGGGTGTTGTACTAGTGTACAAATATTTACGTCAAATTTTGTATATTTGCAAATAAAAAACTATGTTGGTAAATATGCAATATTTTATATTTTAATTGGTCCATAGTGTTTTCTCATTTTTTTTATATTTAAAAAAAAATCTAAATTAAGGCCCAAAATTGGTCCGATCCAATGGATTGTATCCATGCAGAGAACTAGTCTATGGGCGATTTTCTTCCTTTGGCCCATGTTTGTTTGGTGGGATAGGCCAGGATATCCTGGCTTATCCCATATAGTCCCACGTTTGTTAACAAGGATTCAGGCCCGCTATTATGCGGTCGGCCAGGGATGAAAAAGCATTTTATCCCATCAAATTGGGATTACTCCATCCCATGTTTTTGGTGGGATTCAATTAATCCTGCACCTTAAAATTTCTGATATGCACTCAATTTTTTTTTATTTTCGGTCAATTTTGCCCTTCGTAAAGCCACTAATTAGAACCTTACCATTATAAAAAGGTAATTTGGCCAGATTTCCAATCTGAAGTCGTATATGCAAGAACCCTATCCCCCAAAATACAGTTTCTCTTCTTCGCACCCGGTGTAAATTCGGCCCGACTCTAATTGAAGAAGGCGAACAGTGTTCTCCGAACTGAGGAATTGGCAAGCAGGTCCGACTGCGACAACGGTAAATGTGTATTTCCATTTTTCTGTTGTGTTTTCAATTTTTGTGCGATGCCTGACTTTTTGTTTTTTTAATTTTTATTTTCCTCTCTTAAAATTGACTTCTCTCCATAATACTGGATTGAGCGTGTTAGTGAAAGTCCTCGTCGGCGCCTCTGAACCGTCTGCAAATCGAGGAAGACGACCACAAGAGGGGGCTAGGGTGGTTTGTGCGTGAGGAAATTAGAAATGTGTGTGAAATGTGCGTGCCTGAAATGGGGAGTGCAAATGTGGTTAAAGGGGCAAAATTGTATTTTCTAAATATTGAGATGGGTTTGTGTGGATGAATTCATTTTTTCCTTTTTTTTTAAACAAATTAGTTTTTAACCATGCATTTGCACGGAAAACAATATAATAGAATAAAAAATAATAAAATGATATAAACAATATTGATGAACTAACGGTTACAAATTCCAACGGAATGGTTCCGTAACGGGATTGTAGCTTTACCCTATAATCATTGGAAAATGTTCTAAGAAAGAATAACTAAATATTGTTAAATAATTCTTTACATACAACGTTTGTGGTTTTTCTATCAACAGAATTTTCATCACTACAAATCACTATCTTCAAAATTAAGACATATAATGGTTTTATTTTTTTAAATAATTATTGTATTTTGTACTATAGATCATATAGGAAATTTAAAAAACAAAATACTAAAAAAATACCAGCAAAATATTACAAAATAAATAATTGTATCTCGTTGATAAATAATGATATGTGTCAAATATTTAAGACATTTGAACAAAATGGCAATTTTTGGGCCATAAAGAAATATATTAATTGAATAATCAAAAAAAGCACAAATTAGAAGTCCACTTAATTTTTAGGGTAATCAAAATCAAATATAAAACAAGTCAATAATAACATGATTATAAATAGAGATAAACTATTGAGAGTGATGTAAGCCATTTTTTTTTTATTTGATGTCGGCGCTTCTCTCGTTATTCACTCTGTCTGAAACTCTAATCCTTAACCCGATCTTACGAGAAACTCGGGGAGATTTAATACAAAACAAATGTTTTACCGAAGATTTTCTCCCGGTAAAGGCTTAAAAAATTAAAAAAAAAAATCCGAGTAATGTTGTTTTTATGGCCAACAATAGTGATCGAAAAATAAATATTCGTCCCGTTTTCTTAATCTGTATTGCTAAATCTTAACAGGTCAGTCAAGATCGAGCGATAATATTACAAATCTATGAAGATCTGAAATATTTTTTGTTAAACGTAGTTTTTATTTTTTTTTCGTTTTTCGAAATTCTTTGTGCATAAGCTTCAAAGATATATATCATATTTTATACATAATTCGAAATTATTTAGATGTTTTTCGAAATCGTTTTTCGAAGAGAACATGACATTGGTCAAACTTTTATGTATTTTGTTCAGGGTTTGAAAAAATAGGTAAATTTTTAACAGATCTGTTCAGCTCTACTAACAAATATATAGGTAAGTTTATAACATATCTGTTTATAACATACATATGTAACTTTTATGTATTTTGTTCAAATTTTGAACACTAAACAGTTCAATTCTTTTTCGTCTTTCTCACAAATATCAGTAAGTAAAGCTTTGCTAATACTTGTTCAAAATCGCTTTTCGAAGTTGTTCAAAGTCTTTTGCCGAAGTTTTTCAAAGTTTTTAGTATTTTGTTCAAAATTTAGAAATATTAGGTAAGTTTATAACAAATTTGTTTAGATATATTTGTCGCATATTTGGAATTTCTTGTTTAATGTTTAAAAGAATCTGTAGAAATTTTTTTTTTAAATCTTTTACGCAAAAAATCGATTTTAATATAAAGGCATATGTCATGGTAAAAGTTGAATGTGTTGATAATGATAGAAAAATCAAATTATTTTTCTTTCTATATTGTATAGTGTCCAATAATGTTCCACATAATTTGCTGTGTTTTTAATTTTGATTTTTCATATAGATTTGATATTTTTTTTTTTGATTATTAATTATGCTTGATATTTCTGTATTATGCAATAATCTGTCATTACATACAATGTCTTGTCAATCTTCATTCTTTGACTTTGGCAATTTTCGTTTAATATGACTTTCATGTTGCTCAAAATATGGTTTTTAATGCATTAAAATATTAATGTTTCAGATATGTTTTGATGCTATGATCATGCAGAAATTTGTCCCGTCACTCTTTTCTTAAAGAGGAATTGTTTAATGAAAATTAGTCAAATTTATATTTATAATTGTGAAATAATAATTTTTTTCACAGCCAACATTTTTTTTAATGGAAAATATGAGACAATTTATTAAGCACATTTTTTTTTTATAAAACAGAATGTTGATTGCGATAATCAAATCTGTACAAATCATGCATTTTATTGAATAGTAGTAATATAAAATATTTTATTATTACTACCAAATGGAAAGTCAAAGATAGTTAATTTTGCACTATTAATTATGATCATATAGATTTTTTTATATACATATGTTTTTTCAATTAACTTTTTAAATGATAATATTGACAATATAGACTTTGCTATAATAATTATATAGATTGTGCTATAATAATAATTTATTTATTTAATTCATTAATTTTTTTAATTCATCTTATTATGCGTATAGTCTAAGTTTATAAATTATATGTCATTTAAATGTATCTATACTACTAATTTATAAGGTTTTACCATTTGGGGGAGCTAAATTTTTAATTTTAATTATGAAACTAATCTTTCTTATCATTTTGCAGCTATATATTTGATGGAGTATGGCTGGAAATTTAATTACAAAACAATAATTTTATTTTTTATATTGTAATGTAACATGATCTGTATTATAATGTTTGTATTTAATACATTTATTAATATTTTTTTATAACTTTAATTGCTTATTCGATTCATAATGGAATAAAAAAATAATAATATATAGTTTCTGCACAACAATAATGACTGCCACGTTTATATATATAAATAAGAATAAGAAACATAATTGTGGGATTAACTAAAAGAAACCTTTTTAATTTAGCCATTAACTAATTAGGTTTAACTAAAAAAAATCTTCTTAAATATGAAATTAGTTAGTAATTATATATATATATATATAAGTTATCCTACACCAATCCTACATAACAAACAAAATAAAAATAATCCAAACAGTACAATCCCACAATTTTTGTCCAGAAATTAGGTTAATTACCCCCACATTCGTTTTCTTTGCAATAAGGCTAAATATCAGGGCGCATTTTGTAATTCGTTTACACTTTCTCGCTCCTTCGCTCCTGAACTGATTTGTTCATGAAAATTGATCTGAGATTCACAGCTGAAAATTTTCCATGAATCGACTTCTCAAAAATTGCAAGGTAAGTTGATAATTACTAGCTGTCATGAAAATTCGAAACTTCAATTTTCATGAGCCAAAAAACTGATCAAGATTTTTGATAGCGTCATGTGTTCTTCAAGCTTGGAGGCCTGAGGGGCTTCGCCGCGCAGAGTGGGAATGGACCCAATGCTCAGAACCTGAAGATTGAAGGGATTAAAGACATCATAGCTGTTGCCTCAGGCAAAGGTGGTGTTGGCAAGTCCACCACAGCCGGTAATCTTTTAGCACTTAATATTTTCTTGCACAAAAATTAGATAAAAGAAAAAGGGGGAAACAATGTCTTTCGAATGGTTTCCGTTATGTGAAATGTGTTATATGAAGTGATTCTTGGTGGGTTTGTGGTAAAGTTTTTTTTTTTATTATTATTATTATTATTATTTTTTTTTAACGTGTGTGTTTTACATTTGAAGTCAATTTGGCGGTTTCACTTGCGAATAAATGTGGGCTTAAAGTCGGCTTGCTTGATGCGGATGTTTATGGGCCTTCGATCCCGATAATGATGAAGCTCCAGGGAAAGCCTGAAGTGAGTGAAGGTGGTGACTCGATCGACTCGCGATTCTAGCTTTCTTGCATTTTCTGTCTTGATTTTGCATTTTCATTTTCTTAATATTTGGTTTATGACCTTTGTATGATAATATATTGTTCAAAAGATTTCTGATAATGATTCAGTTTAGTTAATATGGATGAGTTTGTTTAGCATTGTCCTTCATGGCTATCAATTGGTTTTTGATATTGCTCTTTTTGTGTTATCTCCATCAATGTGTGTCCTATTCCTTTCTTATGTTTTGTGTTTTAGATTAATTTACCCTCTTGGCAGATAAGAAAATGATCCCGATTGAAAACTATGGTGTCAAGTGCATGTCAATGGGATCTCTCGTGGCAGAAGGGGATGCGATTGTCTGGAGAGGGCCTATGGCAAGTTTTGATCTTTTTATATTTTTCTGCCATGTCTGTTTTGTGTTTACTTGTTTAGTGAAATCATGCCCAAGATTTTTTGTCATTTATTAGGTGATGAAAGCACTCGAGCAGATGACAAGAGGGGTCCAATGGGGATCCCTCGATGTTCTTGTGGTGGACATGCCACCTGGCACCGGCGATGCACAGATTTCCATTTCCCAAAGATTGCAATTGTCCGGTAAGTATTTTTTCTTTTTTTGTTTCTCGAGTAGTACATTTACTTTTCTTCAAATTCTATATTCAGTTCTTATTCTTTACTAATTGAAGAATGAATCAACTCGTAAGTTCTTGAAATGGGGTGGTGTTTGGGACTTTGGAATTTCGATTGTTCTGATTTACTACACGTTTGCTCTTCCATTCTAAGCCGAATAATAAGTTACTATATAAGATCATTTTGGGGGATTGTGGGCAGGAGCACTAATCGTCTCGACTCCTCAGGAGGTTGCATTAATGGATGCTAGGAGAGGAGTTAGAATGTTCTTGCAAGTTAATGTGCCGGTATTTCCCTTTGCCCCCCACATAGCTCAATCTTGTTAGCATATGCACGCACGATAAGCACAATAAATATCGTTTCATAATGATTATTTTTCTTTTTTGTGTGTGTGCGCGCTTTAAATTTCCCAATATTGCGATTTGTGTTCCAAAGATTTTGGGAATCTTGGAGAATATGAGCTACTTCAAATGCCCCAAGTGTTGTGAGCCTTACTACATTTTCGGGAAAGGTGGAGCCCAGAGGATTGCTGACAAGATGGGTATGGAGTTTCTTGGCGAGGTAACTTCTTGACAAGTTTTGGCATTTCACAATTCTCACTCAGTCTCACTGTTTTAGAGTAATCTAAGGTTGTATTTGGTAAGCATACAAGTTATTTGATTAGCTTATAAGCTTTCTATATTCAAATAAGCTTGGTTTTGGTAGGACGAGTTTTTTTAAAAAGCTTGAGGTTATCTCATAAGCTTCATTGGGTAGCTTTTCAAATAAGCCAATTGAAAATTTTATTTTAGCTAGTTTATCAGCTAATTTTACTAAACACTTTTATCATATAAGCTAGTTTTTCAGCCATAAGTCATAAGCTATCAGCTATAACCTCAAAAGTTACTTTAAAAGCTATAAGCTAGCTTATCAGCTAGGTTTACCTAACATAGCCTAAAGTATGAAAAAGAAAAAGGACCGGAAAGTAAAACCAATGGTTATATTTTTATTTATTTTTTTCCGAACAAATGATTCTATAGGTACCTTTAGAGACAGGGATCAGAAGTGGGTCGGACGAGGGTGTACCTATCGTGATATCAGACCCGGATTCCTTCGTGTCCCGGGCTTATGATGATGTGGCACAAAAAATCGTGGGCCGGCTTGAACTTACGAAACAGAAATACGCGCCACCGGAAATAAACCTTTAGAGTTGTGAAAACATAGTGGCAAGTTCTTTAAGAGGATTAACAGGATAAACGATTGGATTTTGATCTGAGTCGTGTTTTATATACAGCTTGTCTTGGGCTACAAATGTTTCTATACACAGCTAAGATTTATGCACTCAATTGNTTTTATTGTTCTTTCTTTATTTAATTAAGTAATATATATAATCGATTTTCATTATTGTTTTACCTATGACAAATTAATGTTATTGTTTTAGTAGTAACAAATTAATATATAAAAAAAAAAACGTTGTAATTTTTCAAAAAATAAATATTTTACCATACAAAAAAATACATACCCAATTAAAAATTTAAATTACAAAAATTGGAATAAAATATTGAAATTAATTAAACAAGTTACAAAATGCATGATGTAAATAAATTGCAAACACATCGAATGAAATCACACATCCATTACCATTATCAATTTTTCCCACGTGTACAATCAAGTCATTATTTAGAGTTACACGAGCTTCTCTATTACAAAATTGTGACCTATCAGTCATATATGTGTATAAGTTAATGATTGATTCAGTAGATTATTGAAATGGCATATTATCATCCTTTTCTTCTACTTCATTGCTTCTGTCCTCTCGTCGTTTCCTCCGCCGCTTATTGTTCATAAATTATGTGGGATCATAATATGCATGATGATACAATCCATAATAATTCTTCACATAAAAAAACTATCCCACAAGACATGGCCATTTGGTTAATGCAAAACGAGCATGTAGAACTCTAAATGCGCTTTCGGCGTCTTTTCCGTGGCCTCCTTGTGTTGAGCAAACAACTTGTGCTTTCGAAGTTGCAGAGAAGTAATTGTTTTAACAAATGCAAATTATTAAGGATATATACCATCAATGAGGTAATATCCCATATTACTTTGTCGACCATTCGCGATATACCTAATTTTCAGTGGTCAACCTTATAACAAATGCATGCCTATAACGAATAACTATTCTGATTCTTGACACACCTTTTGTCTTCGCTAATGAAACACCAAGCTAACATTAGAACAATATCTTTTGAGGATTTGTTTTTTGTCACACCCCACTAATTTTTCTTTTTCATGTTTTGAGGATTTGTGTGTCTATTGTACATTTTAAAATAAGTCTCAGGAGATGTTTTGTGAGTTTTGATCATCTACAGAAGTAAAAAATTGAGGTAAGATTCGGAAAAAATTACTCACGTGAATGACTTTCGAAATTTAGAAATTTTTTAAAGTTTGACAAAATTTGAGAGATGAGTTAAAATTTAGACCCATATGATATTATTTGGGGATTAGGTAAAAGAAAAGAGATGATAAAATTAATAAGGTATGAATTTTTTAAAGGGTGAAAATGGAGAATTTGAAATTGTATTTCAAACTATATCAATTGTGGTCTATATTGGTAGAGAATGAAAAAATACATATTTTGGTTATTTCTATTTTTATTTTTAATATAAATTAACACCAATTATTATACTTTAAAAATTATTTCTAAATATCCGAAAAATCTAGAGATCAAATAAAAATGAGACAAATATCCCGTTCCACCCACAAACCCAGGTTGGCAACCGAGTCACATTGTGACTTCGATCGCTACCTAATGTGATTTTTTCATTTTTTTTTTAATTTTTCACTCTCTTTTTCTTTAGCTGGTTGGGTCATCGATAAAGATGGTCTTATAAAAAAATTTCAAAAGCGTGAAGCACGGAATGTTGGTTTTCTCCAGTGGAAGTCGTGTTTTCGATTGCACGTAATTTCTGTCAAAGTTCTCAACAGACGGCACCACAAAATGGACCCATAAAAGAACTCGTCTGAAGAAAACCCTGCTCTTACATTAAGGTCGGTCCACGTTTTCCCAGTTTATAAATCATGTGATCTAAACATGGTATAATATTTCCAAGATTCGGGTCGAGCATGATCCTTATAAAGAATTCCGTGTCGAACAATGTAATAGTACACATTACACAGTTAAATCATATAAGTTCTGGTTTCTATAAAAAGAATTCTAAATACATTGTCACCGCAAAGACGATCAATCTCTCAACACTAATGTCAAAGAGATTTGAATACAAAGAAATATCAATTCAAGATTTCCAGTATTATCCCACACCCAAATTTGATGATGTTACAAACAACAAAACTCAGCATAAACCCAAATCACATCAATAAGAAAATAATCCAGCTTACTGTGAAAAAAGAAAACAAATACTACAGGTCGAAAATACTGGTTTTCTTGAACAGTGATCAAGTAGTAGACGTTTTAGGTTGAAAAAGCTGCATAAGTGACCATAACACATCCATCCGATGAATGCTTCGGTTATTCTCACCCTACCAACACCAATTAACACCAATAAATACTAAGAACTCGAATTATTTATTTAGTGTAAAATCATCTTAATTAAAGATTAGCTGACAATTAACATGCACCTCAACAACAAAGCACATCCACATCTGATCTCCATAGGCTTCAGACACACCTTTTAGTATGCTTAGCCCTAAGCTTCTAATGGTCTCTGCTATTTCCAGAAAGTGACCACTCTCTTTGCTCAACATCTACACTCGTGGAGATTAAACAATAAGTTACATATAAATATATATATATAATTTAATTATTTGGAAAACACTTACCTCTACAAGCATTTGCCCGTTCATATTTATATTTTCAACTATTATTGGGCAGGCCTTTTGGCTGTTTCCCAATTCAACAGCCCAGCTCGAGCCTTGCTCACGACAGGAGATTCTCTGTATACCTGTTTCCTTGTCAAGCAACTGGAAAAAAAAATAAAAAAAATCTTGTTAAAAATTGAAATCACAACATAAAGACATAAACTTGTACCAAATTTGTGATTGTGTGTAAATCTGTCGGACATGGAATTTTTCCTGATTCTCATATTTACTATAATATTTCAGATAGGATTGTGTGTGAATTTTGCCACCATTAGTGAATGTCATGTACCAACCAAAACCTTGCCAAGAAAAGTAGAAAACAGATAATAGAGAAAAGAGAATTTCGATCAAGTTGGATAAACAAACAGGCTTGTAATAAACTGAACAAAAACATAATATCATTACCTTTGACACTGAGCACTTATTCAGTTTCTCAGCATGCTTGGTTACACTTTGCAAAAACACCATGTGCTTAATAGTCCTCTCTAGAAGCGAATCAATACTGCACTGTATGATTCATAAATTTCANAAAATAAAAAAAAAAAAATATCATGAGAATCACCTTAGATCCACTGGGCACGAGCTCTCTCAGTTCCTTTATCCGATCTTGGATCAACTGCCTATCCCTTGGCCTTGGCCTACTACTCTCACCTGGTCTAGCTCTTTTTCTATTCGGTTTAACCGGCATACGAGCCTTATCCAAATGCTCACTCCCTATACTTGAACTCGTACACGGGAATCCCCTCAATGACTCGACACTACAAGTTACCGAATTTAAACTACAAGAAGTGTCGCGGTCGAACGAACTAATAGTTCCCAGACTATTGCACGGTGTTTTATCGGCAGTCAAGAGAGATTCACGGCAAGACCTCTCGTTTTCTGTGTCATACCTTTTGTGAGTTCCTGTTCGAGCCACCACTGCTTCTAGAAGGTTCCCGTCAGAATTTCCCCTCAGCAAACTGCAACTGCCTATTCCCTCGGAAATATTTACGGCCCCCCAAATGGAATCGTTTTTCTGCTCCTGGAAAGAAGGTCCTAAAGCTTCGTACAGTTCATACCCGGCACAAAAACCGAAGGGTGCAATATTCATCTCTGCTGCACGATTACTAGACTTGATCGGCAGTCGTAGGTTCTCGAAATGTCGAGTTTCGAAATCATTTATGTTAAAGTTCTCGATCTTGACATTCTTAGTAATTTCGGGTCTCTTTCCTAAATCCCTGGAGTCACTTGTTTCGCCACCGGATTTCTTGTTGTTTGGATTTTCCATCACTGGTGCTTGCGGTTGACTTGAGAGAATATTTGCCGAGCTCGAGGGAAGTGAAATTTCATTTCCAGGCACTGAGGGCCCAGCTCTTTCTTGCATGTTGTTTTTAAGAGTTTTATTTGAGAAGTCTCCGATTTGAGGGGAAACATGAAATTGATTAACAGATTCCCCAAGAGGTGAAAGAAACTGAGACCACAAGTTCATCTCATCCTCATGAAGAGACCTTTTCATTTTGCCAATGGAGGAGTTGTGAAAAGTGGAATCTGGGATTTTTGTGCATGAATCTGGCTGATAAAAAAAAATGCAAGGTATAAGAGATGGGGAGAAAATATTTGTGCACACATGAGAGAGAGAGAGAGAGAGAGAGAGAATCACCAAACAAGAATCATCAGTGTTACTTTTCATCGAACTTGGAGTACAACCAAGTAATGAATCATGTAGGCCAGAGAAAACGTTTTTTATATGGTCGACCAGCTTCACATCCTCAGAAATCTGATCCACTCAAAGATGAAGGTAAAAATGTAAAGTCTACGAGTTATATGAAAACAAGAAATGCAAACGGTAATACAGCTTTTGATCAACATACTTTATGCAGAGAGCCTAGTTGTACAACTCCAAGTGGAATCACAGCCACAACAACAATGGTCTGCAAAACAGGAAATCTCTTATGAATTTTTTGCGAAAAAGTACCAAGAATTGAGGGGTTTTGAAGCCCTTTTGGCAGAGGAACCTGACTGGTATAAGAATACACAATTCAGCTTTTACTATGAAGATAATTTAGCAGTATGACAATCATCAAATCAAACAAAAATTTTATACTAAAACTTCAAAGAAGGAGCGGAGATGAGAAAGAGACTAGAATCGATCTGAAAAGCATCTCTCAGATCTCTTTGTTCCTTCGATGTCAGTTGATAGTATATTATTATCCATCACTGTAAAAGCTTTGTAAGATACCAAAAAAAAAAAAAGGATAGAAACAAATAGGACTCGGATTCACCTTAATGCCAGCTGAAAACTGAGTTTGCCACCCATCAAAATACTGGATAACACAAAATTATTTAATTAGAGAAAAATGAGTCAGATTAAGGCATAGTGCAGAGAATAAGAGATGGTTTAAGGTCATATCCATTTACAGTGGTCAGTGGTCATATATCAATGCCAACCAATAGGTGGAACGCCTATCCTCAAACTAATAGAAAATATAGAAATTCAAACAAGCATTTCATATACACGAATCTTATTGTTCTGGTTATTAACAACTGAAACACTCAACACTAAACAGAAAAACCATCAATATATGTCTGTACCAATCACCGAAAAGAGAATTATTGTTAATCAATAAACGACTTTAAGACAATAAAACATATATCTGATTTAACATAATCCAAGATAACTTAGATGCCTTGCATTCTTGGACTCTAGGTGAATAAGAGCAGCAAAACGATTTTTTTTTTTTTCTCTTTAATGGTAACAGTGCAGTAATATACCTCATATGAGAAAGAATCAAGCTCATCTAAAAATATCCATGAATGCTTTCCAGAAACTGCTACCTTTCCGACAACCCTATCAGACCAAATGTAGGAAAAGATTCTATAAAATAAATGATAAATATATAAACATATATATTATATATGCAGTATTTATATTCACATAAATATGTACAGAAGAGCAACCAAATGATATTATTACATGCTACAACATCCCTCCTGTAAAACACAGCGAGTTATATATTTATGTTGTCACCAGAAAACATCAATCATTTATTTAATCTTGAAATTGAACTAGAGAAATGAAATAAACTTGGCAAAGATAAGATATGGAGCTTTAAGAGTACAAAAACTGGAAATTCTTAATTCGTATGATGGTAAGTGCATACCCTTCCCCCAGAGAATATACTTGATAAGACATCTTTGCCACAGCCAATCCTAGAGGATCATGTGAGTAAGGACCCTCAATCGAGCTTCCTGAAGCAGGATTGAACAACTTCTTTTCCAATTGGTTTCCATCATAATAAGCATCCTCCCAAGTTAACATCCTGCAGAAAATTTTGTACCAATAAAGAATGAAAAAGAATTTGACATAATGTGATCACACCAGAAAAATTCTTTGAGCAAGTAATATGTCAAATACAGGAATTTCCATTTAACCACACTCTACAGTGATGTATTTTTATGTTAGTGAAAAGCATCGGGAAGGAAGAAGTTGGCACAAAATCATTAATTCCATAAGACTTCTCTCAAAAATTTAAAAAGAGAAGCAAACTTTTAGACTTCGAAAGATAAGCTGAAGTTTATATTGTAGCTGGAAGAAGCTCCGCACCATTTTCTAGCATACAAGATTCTGTTATTGAGTTACAGTTTTAAGTTCTGCATGACCTATAAATGACAGAAAGCCACCATAGCTTCAAGTACCTCTATCTAACTATATACACCAAATCTTCTATTTAGTTTAGTTAAAGTCAGTTTCAACCTCTTTTCTAAGTAGAACATTTTCTGAATTACTATATTATTTATTTCGTTATTTCAAATTTAAAAGCTTGAATAGGAAGCGCAGGAAGGCATAAAGCTTCCAATCTCTTCTTTTATGTTCTCAAAACATCCATTCGGCACTCCTGATTTGGTGATTTCAGAATATGTTCACATAAACAATCTTCTGTTCTTTGTATCATTACAAACTTACGTGGATTCTCATACATGCAATTATGTAAATACATGAACATTCAACTTAAACTTAGTATGGCTAAATCTTCAATATAAACTTTGAAAAGGTAAAGGGACTCACATCCTCGTTTGACGCGTTATCTTCCAGAAAACTGCATAATTCCAATCGCTGTTGGAACAAAAACTCCTCAGCGCTTGCTGCAATCGACTCCCCATCTTTCTTTTTCCCCAATGAGCAAAGTCCTAATGCCAACACCCAAGCCTAATTTTCCAAAAATAAAAATAAAAAATAAAAAACTTCAACAAATTCCCTAAATCCACCCCTTGTACTTGTAGTGTTACCCCAAATCCTAGCTCCCTCTGTAAGATCCCCTTCCAGCTTGTTTCCTTCTCAATTTCCTCTTTATCGGAGGTCCCACTGTCGGCAGCAACATCCTGTCATCTATCCCCATTTTCTATCCTCACACTAAATTAAAAACCCTAATTCACCAATCGAGCTAAAAACTCCCTTCAATTAACTGACTAAACTAAATTGAAAGAAAGATCAGCCGAGTGTGAGATCTTTGAACTAAAACTACCTTTCAAATAACTCCCCAAATTCACCATTGCAAATGTAACTACAATCTAATCAAACCCATCAAACAAAACCCAGGAATTTCCACTAATGATAACACCCAGCAACAAGAATTTTAACTAGAAATTTAAAGGAGAAAAAAAAAGGAATTTCGAGATACCAACAGTACTTGTTTATCGTACATCAAATGACATTGAGGACGCCATCTGCAGCTTCTTCGTGATGTATATGGCTTAAACAGAAAAACCTCAAAAAAGAACGAAAAACTGTGAAAAAAAAAAAGAAGAAAAAAGGGTTTGCTCTTGCGCTTCTTCTAACAGTAAACTGCCTCAGAAGAGTATCGTCGACGCTCGGTGAAGAAGCTCTGGACGACAACTGAGCTTGCCGCCATTGTTGAATTTTCTTAAACAGAATATCGAAAATACAGAACAAAACCCACTCAAAAAGGTTGCAGCTTGTGAAGAAAGAGAAAATGTCTCTGAGAGAGATTGAGGTTCAAGGCTTCAAGCTCAGCTCCAAATGCTTTTTCATCTCCATTTTCTTCCAACTCAAAAAAGCTGCCTTTTTATACAGAAAAAGGTCAGCTTATTTTGGTCGAATGAACGATGCCGTTTAAGGTATTCGACAGGTGACATTCACGCAACATTCCCATTGGCCCCTGCGCCGCATAAATAGGCAATGTGTATTGAAAAATGCTACAAGTACATAATAAATGTGCGTGTACCATAGTTTTTAAATCCGGGTCAGTAATCGACTCGGGCAGGTCCTCGAGTTACCGGGTCACCGATTCAACCGTCGGGTCACCGGGTCAATTGCTGAACCGGATAATTAATTTTAAAATTTTTAAAATTATATATAAAGTATTTTTATCATATAAATATACATAAAAGTAACAAAATTAAATATTTTGTGTATAAAATTTATACATTAAAGTGTTAATAATATGTATGTCATGATAAATATTTACCATATAAACATATATACATAGTTTTACTTTTAAAAAACAAAATAAAAATTTTGACCGGGCCCTTTGTTGCCCAGTCCAAATACTCCACCGGACCGATTTCGGCTCGGGTCGACCGGGTCGGGCCGGTCCGCGTCACAAAACAGTCACGTGTACATAACACGTACATAGGTGGGGTTCACTTATTTTTTTATTTTTGGTAGAACCACTTAATGTAAGTGTTATGTATAGCTCTATGTACAATATTATGTACCTATAGCATTTATGTCCATTATACCGTTGATGACTTGTTCTAATTTATTTTATTTTTCATTAAAGTGATTGATAAGAGTGTGCGAGTGTACCTTTTCAATAAAACTAGTAATCAACCTGTGCATTTGCACAGAGAATAATACTTTAAAAAGATAAAAATATAAAAAAAAAACAAAAACAAATCATAATTTAGTTCATGAAAAAAAAAATATGAATTAAGAAAATAATTCTCAAAATTTATTTTGATCAAGTAATTGCTATGGAAGAGCCGTTACAACCATTTTCTTTATGTTAATACACTCGGCCATTTTCATGAGTGGGTGACTTAAAATTTGAATACAGTTTTGTAACTCCCTTGATTGGTTTATGCTCATAATTTATGACATTCAAGCAAGTTATTTTATAACCTAAAAATAAAATTAAATGTTGAAAATTTTGGAGGGAGAATAAAATTTAATGCATGATAATAAAATAAAATACTTTGTTGCTCCTCTTTATATATATATAGATTTCAAAGTTTTTTTTTTTTTTTTTTTTTTTACTTTTTGTTTTTTTAAATGGTCAAGAAAACAAAATGCAACTCAATGTCCACCATATTCAGAAATGCCACCAATCACCCAATCATCACACAAATCAGTCAACAGGCTGACAAGAAAAGGTTTTAAGCTCAAACGGGCTACTAGTGGAATAATAAATAGGACCAAAGAACAAGGCAGTAGTGAGCTATTCAAACAAAACGCCTCAATCACATTCGCAATTTCAAACTCTAATAGATTCATTTCAAACAAACTCAAGGCAAGTTCTAATCATTCAAGAATATGACCAATATCTCACAAGAAAGAAAGAGTAAGGATCAAAACCTCACAAGGTAAATAAATGTCACTCAAAGCAATCAAGCAATATCGAGGCAATGATCAACACAATCGTCATCACAACTTCCCAATTTCATCAAATATCCATCAACAAATCATATAATCCACCAATACCATGCTCAACAACACAAAAACCTAAACTAGCCCGGCCCACCACATAAGCATGCAAAATCCAAATAGACTCCCCCACACTTAAAATGAGGCAATGACCTCATTGCTTCAACTCAAAATAGGAAGTCAAATGCAAGGACAAAACAATTTCACATAATGAACCAAACTAGCAGCTAACACAAGACACAAACTCAAAAGAAAAGACAAGGGAAAATTAATGTATATACTAAATAGGAATATATTTGGTATAATCAAATACCAAATATAATCAAATAAGTCAAAGTGTACATTTTTATTTGGTATTTGATTTTTTATTATTAAAATCTTTTTATTATACTTACCTTTTTAAAATAAAACAAATAAATAAATCAATTAAATAAATAAAATATTATAATACCAAAATAGTAATGGCATTTAATGCAATTGACTTTTCTGGATAGTAAATGTAGTAAATAGAATCTCCTTTTATATAAGTATAGATATGATATTATATTATGTTGCTCAAAATAGTAATGCATTTATTGCATTGACTTTTCAACTTACTAAATTTCGTAAATGGTACACCTTATTATATAAGTATAGATGTAGGTAATAAAAAGTGTAGGGTATGTATTAATTCCGATTTCTTAAATACTTTCTGATTTCTTAATAATTTATAGAAATCTAATTTATTCATTTTAGTTTAAAAAATTCTTAACAAGCATTCAATTTATTTAATATTTTGTTTTGTATGAAATTTTTAAGACTTATTTCAAAGATGATTTGACCTTGTTTAGAAACCAGCGGTTAACGTTGTGGGATAGCAAATTGTAATAGATGTTTTAATCAGTGATTAGAATTTTGGTTCTGGAAAAATTTATTTGGTAAAAATTAGAGGAATTTTTTTATTTTGAAAAAATATATTTGGCATTGTTTATTTGATAAAATATTTTATATAAATAATTTTATATAAAGTAATATACATCAGTATATTTATATAACTATATTTATCCAAATATAAATTTGATATTACTAAATTATTTTAATTAATTTACGTATTTATTAAAGTATGCATTATAGAATAAAGATAATGTAAATTAAAATATTCAAAGTAATATAAATGGTTTTAATGTTATTTATATATATATAAGTCATCAAGACGCCATTTGCACGGAAGGTAAATTATTAGAAGAGAAAGTAATACAATTTGAACGGTATAAAAATTAAAAACCATAATTTAATTCATGAAAATTTATGAATTAAGAAAAGAATTCTAAATATTATCAAAAACTTCTTCATATACAACATTCATTGTTTTTCTATCGTTTGAATTCCCATCACCATACATCATTATCTTTAAACTCTTTCGTTCTGAATCTAGAAATAGCAACGTACAACTACCCACGACTGAAAACAGACTTCTTTCATATTAAGCATACGAGTGACAGAGACTAATATTGAATCTTATTGATCGTCATAGCAGGAAAATCATGCAATGAATCTGTCTGCGTTGGAACTTGAACGGTTACCCTCAAAGTGAAATGAATGATCGTGAGTTAAGGGATAAGAATCTTATCACAAGCTCTGGCACTGGTTAAAATTCTGCATTTGATAACATGATTGTGAGCTTTATAGTAACCAAATGTGTACCATTGCACAACATCATTGAATGATCAATGTTCCTCATCATCATCAGGGAAGTGTCAACCTTCAACTGCAATTTATGAATTGGAAGTCCCGAACGCTCAATCCCATTCAAAGATTCAACAGCATCACTGAAGTGTCAACCTTCAAGTATAAAATTATTTTTAATATTTATTTCCCACATCATATTCATAATAAATTTAATTTTATTATGTCGTTTGACTATGAGTGAATGAAAGAGAGTGATATGAATTTCAAATAAAAAAACATAGAAAATTGTAAAATTTATCTCATACGATTGGTCCCAAAAGTTGCTAACGTCTTGCACGTGAGCCTTGATAATTTTAAATTTCATTCAAAAAAATTGTTTAAAATTAAATCAAACTATTTAAACAAAAAAATCAACTTTCTACTTTTGAATTAAACATCAAAATAATCTGGCTCATCTTATTAACAAACTTGAAGAACTCATTTTTTTTCTTTTTCCTTTTTAAAAAAAAATATAAAATTGGTCCAAAAAAATTGCAAAATTGATCCTAAAAGTTGGTAACGTGATCAAGTGAACCTTGTTAGTTTCGACGAGTATGAGTCCATTTATGCTACAAAAAATTAAAAATGATCACAAATGCAACTTGTGGTAATAATTGTGAAAATGCCTCAAACGAGCGGGTCAAAATTTGTAATTTTCTTTATAATATTTTTATTATCTAGTTTTATATTGTTTATTAAAAAGGACCAATTTTCTTTTATTAACCAGTGGATCAAACGAGTGAACCACAATTATATTAATTTTCTTTTATTAGAAGTTATATTGATAATATTGAAAGAATTTGAATTGAGTTAAATTTTAATTGAATTTGAAGTTAAAAATATCATTCGATAACCTATGTAACTGGATAAATTAATATCAAATCAGGCCTTAAAGTCTCAAATAAATTACCTCCACATGTAGCTAATTTAAGTGTCAAATTCGTAGACAATAGAGGGGTTTTCACTCTCCTTTTCTCTTAGCTTGATCTCCTAGGAATTTGGTGTAGATATTGGCTAATGGTAACCAATTGATTTGTAAATTAACTAATTGGTTGAATTCATTGACTAAATTAAGTTAGTAACTTTTTACTATCATTTGGGTAAAATTAATTTACACAAATCACGGGCTACTGGTCATGGACTGTGCCAAGAAAATCATAAATTTGGAGATTGTGTGTAGTTCGAAATTTCATTATCAATGTTGGATTCAAAAGTTTGTGATTCGTGTCGGATAATTTGTTGAATTCATTTCATCCCATAATTTTTCTTCATTGAGATTGTGGTTGGATACAAAATATTTTTAGAAATAACATTATTCATTTTTTCTCACCATATATTTTTTTTTTTTTTAAAATATTATCAGTGTGCAATTACTATCTAGTGTGTAGCATGTGCGATCCACGTGATAATAATAAAAAATAACATAAATTAAAGCAATGAGTCAATATAAGTAGTATAAAAATAGTTTTTATCTTTTTTATTTTTATTATTATAATATATAATAGTTTAATGTATGATTTATATTTTTATTTCACCCGT